CTCAATTTATGGAACGAAGTCCCAACCTCGTCTTTCACACTGCTCCCATCGCCAGCGTCGTCGAGACTCGGTTCCTCTCCTCTTCCCTCCCTCCCTCCCTCCCTCCCTCCCTCCTTCCCTCCTTCCTTCCCTCCCTCCCTCCCTCCCTCCCTCCCTCCCTCCCTCCCCGCTTTAGTCCTCGTCCTCCTTTAATCACTCTCGTCCTCCTCTTTCTCTGCTCGCTTTCTCTCAATATCTCGGCAGGTCCGTGGCCTGGGGCTTCGCTACCTCCTGGTGACGGAGGGGGGGAGGCTGGTCGGCATCATCAAGAAGAAGGACCTGCTGGAGCACATGGAGTACCATCGCAAGCTCACGTCAGCTCCTCCCTCCTCTCGCTCCTCTTCAAGATTCCCTTTCTATCCTCCTGCTGCATTGCTCCCAATTCCTTTCTCCTCCTGTCTCCTGTACCACTTTCTCCTCCTCTGTTCAACCAACATGCTCGCGATCTTCTCCTTCGCCCCTCAGAGTATCTCAAGTGACGGCGAGTGTTTGCAGGAAGCTGAGGACTGAGGAGAGCAGCTGAGAAGTGCGTGTTCATCATGTAGATTACTTGTTTACTTGTACAGAGAGCCATCCAACTCCTGCTGTCTCGTCTGTTTTTCCCTCCTCCCTCCTCCACGTTCCTACCTCCTTACCACCACCTCTGACGCTGCCAGCGTCACCTTTAAACTCTTTTCCACGAAGGTTCCTATATAGCGAAGTCACTCCTCGTCCTCGAAACCTCCTCCCTCCTCCGCTCCTTACCGTCCTCAGTGCCTCTCTTCACTCTGAGCTCCACGACGTCCCCTGGTTTGTGCGGCTCAAGAGCAGCGAAGAGATCGCCTTCTTTCCTGATGTCGACGCTACTCCCTCCTTCAGCAACAACCAGCACAACAACCCTCCTTCCTCACCTGTCAAGTCCCACAATGATGTCGCCAACTTCAATGCCTCGGAAGGTACGAACAGTCCCCTGCTCACTCATCACTATCCTCCTCCTCCTCCTCTTCTTCTTCCTCTCACCCTTAGCCCGGCCTGAGCTGCTGGGGAGCCCTTGGGGACATCGAGCACGAGAACTCCTGCGAGTGGGTCAGGGAGACGACCATGTCAAGCTCTTGTCACCTTGTGGCAGACCCAGTCCTCGAGTCTGCTCTGAGTCCAGGAAGGAGATCCCGATGACCGGTCGGGTGATCTGCTGCCCAGTGAGGGGAAACAAGAGCATGGGGGGGGGAGAGTAGAGTAGGGACAGTGGGGACACGATGCAGGGAGGGTGGGAGAGGGAGGGAGACGAGAAGGGAAGGGCGAGAAGCGGGGAAAGGAACAAGCGGGGAAAGAGATGCAGAGAGGAGTCGAGGTAGGTGTTAGCTGAAGCATCCTCAAGAGAGCTATACCGATCCGTCAGTGATCAACTTCTTCACAACATATTTGATCGTGTCTACGGGTATCGCAAAACCTGGAAGTGCATTCCTTCAGACTTGAACCTCAATCTCACACTCTCTCCATGTTCAGGACTCTTACCAACTCCCGAGTTCGCCCCCGACGGAGAAAAGATCGCTGTGTTCATGCCAATGAGCTTGCCCTGACTGTTGAGCAGAGCTCCTCCAGAGTTGCCGGGGTTGATTGCTGCATCTGTCTGGTAACATAGTCAGCCAGCAGCAGGGACAGCAAGCAGAATGCGAGCAGGAGGAGATACCTGGATGACGTTGCTGATCGGTCGGCCAGTTGGTGACTTGGTTTCTCTTCCCAGACCAGACACGACTCCGATGGTGAGCGAGTGGTCGAGACCGAAGGGATTGCCGATGGCGAGAGCCGTTTGTCCTACCAGGAGATCTGCAGACCTGAAGGGGAGGTCATCACGAGGAGGGACAATAGGAGGGGAAGTCATCAATACCACCACCACCACCTCCTCCTCCTCCTCCTCCACAATTAACAACAACAATCCAATCCACGCCACCATCACCATTACCAACACCAACACCATCACCATCACCATCACCATCACCATCACCATCACCATCACCATCCTGATCATCAGAAGGAGAAAACGACACTAGGTTAAGGTCTACTCACGTTCCAACATCGATCGGCCGCAGGGCAGCGGGAGGAGCTTCGATCTTGAGCACCTGGTCCGTCCCTCCATCAGCACGGCTGGGCGCACATCACTCAGAGCATTCACCGCAATGTCCTTGTCAGGATCGACTCCCGTCAGCGTCGCCTTGTACAGCGTCTGCTTGCCCTTGGCATCGCTCAGGGCCACCTGGGCGCTGTTTGCAGACCGGATCACGTGGAAGTTGGTAACGATGTGCCCTTCCTTGTCCCACACGAAGCCTGACCCCGTCCCTTGGGGGATCTCCTCCATGTCGAGCGTGAAGAAGTCTTGCCTCTCAGTGAAGGTGGAGATGAAGACCACGGACGGAGTGTTCTCGCGGAAGAGGTTGATCGTCCTCACCTCCGATGGCTCTAGCGCAGAATCTGACTCCACAAACGAGTTGGCAGGCTTGCTCGACGAGAGCGCGGCATCTTTCACCGTTGGAAGAACGTTCGAATGAGGGGCCACAATCGAGCTCTGGACTCCCAGCCCAAGACAGAATGCTGCTGCTCCCGTTGCCGCAAATTTCTTCCAGTCCGCCTGTTTTCCCTCCTTCATGGCACATGTGCTGACCCCGCCCCCAAGGCGGCGGAAAGGGCCCTTGGATGAAAAAGGAAACTCTCTAGACCTTGAAATTGTGAAGGAATGGAGAGCTCCAAGAGAAGACCACGCAGACGCAGAATCTGAAGACAAGAAGACCATTAACAGCACGAGGAGAGGAGAGGACGTTGTAATCCTGGCCACAATCATGATCCTCGGGGTTGTTGATGTTGAAGCAAACATATGGAAACTCTTGGAACCAACGGAAACTCTCTGCTACTTAGCTCGCTTCTTCTATCTCGCTTCTGCTCTCCTTCTCTTCTCTCCTCAACGCGCTCCTCCCAGGTACAGAAAAATTCCCAGGAATTCCTCCAGAACTTTCTAATCCCTCGGAACCCTCATCCCCGCGCAAACAAACATCTTGACCGGGCCCGCCCCGCTCAGCCTGTCCGGCCCGGGTGGCCGCGGCCATGGCACTCACCACTGAAGGGTTCTGCACGTTTCAAATTTTTGTTTGAAGTTGTTGGCCTATTTTTCAAATATTAGAGTTTTTCCAGAGACCAAAGCGCACCCCTATTCATGGGGAGGTTCATTAGGTACCACCTACCCTATACTTCAACGTCTTTTTCTATTAGAAATAACCGGTGTGAAAATGATCCCACCCCTCCATGTTCAAGCTGAGATCCAAGATCTGACCCTCAATTCTTGTTACTCCCACCCCCCTGCCAATTTTGTGCCCCAAACTTAAATATATTTTATGATGCACTACCCCACCTGGGTGAAGTGGGGTTTCTACTCACGACTACCCATAGTAGGATTGCTGGTTACCCCCACCTACAAAATCAACCAACATTTCTATTAGACTACCCCATCTTCGATAGCCAATACCCGGTTCATCAAAAAATCACACTCGCTTGTGGGTGTCCTTGCAAGCTGGTACCCCTGTCCATTCAATTTACAATGTTTTAAAAATTATAAAGCGAAGACGCTTCACCCGGTGGTATGCGATGCTTCTCAGGGAAAGCATACCGGTGGTTTAGAGTCGAATTCCTACGCTCATTTTTTAAAATTCCTTGTACAGTGTCAAACCCCCAACCCTTGGTGACCCCCCACCCTAGGAATCAGCTCCACCCCTCAGGCAATATGACTACCTCCAGGTTGTAGATGCATCTCAAACTACCCTACCCCCTTCCATCGTGCCTCTCAACCCCACCCCCACTCATCCCCGCCATTCTGTCTATCCCTACCACCCATGATGGTCGGATGTGCCATCACCCCACACTCATTACGATCTTGATGTACCCACCCCCTGCAAAACTTCGGCCGCTAACCCACCCGTTTGGGACATCTTGGTGGACCCCTACCGTGAAACTTGCTACGCTCTCGCAGCCATGGCGTGTCCTCTGCCTGGAGTGGGCTTTGCGCTTCTATTGCTTCTCCCCATCATGATCCCCATGGTGTACTCCGCTTCTACCCCGTCTCCGTCGTTTCCTCTGTCCTCCTCCTTTGTAACTGTATCATCTTCTTCCTTTTCATCCGTTTCCAACACCCAGTCTGGTTCCGATGTGCGGTCTTCGACTGCCACTATGGGTTTTGTTGCTTTCTCGCATGGTCTTCCTACCTTGGGACACAGCATGTGGGGAGAGGCAAAATGTATCAAAACAGCATCATGCAAAGTCAAAGCCAGCAGGCTTACGGTCGAGGGCAATTCTGGCTTGAGGAAGCTGAGAGCTGAATCGGCAATGAGTGCAACCGAGCCTGACGTCCTTGCAGAGGTAAGTCTGTATCTCAATGTCTTACCTATGTTTGTGCATCTTTTGCACTCACGATGCTGGATAGGTAAAGATCAGAGCTGAGAAGGCAAGATTCACCTCCAGAGCTACTAAGCTCCTGGGAAAACCTGTTCTTTCAGACTGGAAGGAGGGTGTACACTTCGTCAATGCTGACAAGGACTGCAAGTTTAACTTCATGGAGATGGTAGTTGTACGAGGCAAGTATGCACGAGTACAGATGGGCCCAAACGAAGATGGGATGTTTGCTGTTGAAACAATGAATGGTGAACAACGATCCGGTTTTGGATGTGAATGTTGACATTTGTTCTGGTGACAGGTGAAATGGGCAGTTCGGGGGTTAGGAGGCTTGGACCAACAATTATTGGGCGAATAGTGGACATGTCCTATCTGGACGATGCCTTCAATTACTACGAGATAAGCTGAATGAGCTATCTCAAGGTTTCGTTTTTCTTCTTCCATTATTTGTTTGTATTAAAGCTGTTGATTTCTTGAAATCCATGGAGAGCTTCTACTGCAAGGCTTCAGCGAGTTATCGTACATGTAGAATGAGGAGGCTCTGATGGAGGCTCCGTAGCTGGCCATGTAGAACATTCAAACAAAAAGCTGAAAATTCCTTGGTTGGAAGATTCTGAAGGGTCCAAGTATAAAGATAGTGATTGGCTTTGTTGCATTACACATGATTGATCTCAATTTCCGCACTAGGTACAAAACCCAGACTGCACAGGCACGCACATTTGAAATTTCAGTAGGTAGCCTCTATTGCAAAGGGTGCGAGTGTATAGTATGCAAACATCTGGTTCGCCGATACTTCCAGATGAGAATGGCTTGTCAATGCAAACAAAATTCTCCAGTGGGCTACTCCACCTTCACGAGCCCAGGCCAAAACCATGAGGTTAGACTTTCGTGAAGCCAGGAAAAAACACCACCCTTGTCAGAGAGATGCTTCATTTCAATGGGTTGTCGTTGTATTCTACACATACAACATATTCATACAACAGTCAAGGAGTGACTGATTAATACTATGACCAATAGTTTACAGACTGTACATTAGAATGCTACTCGCAAGGATTCAACCTGCAACAACCACACAAGTCAGTCCGCTGCATATTGAAATGTTTCGGATGGGATATCACGATAAAGTTGTAAGGATTTAAGCGATGACAACTCATCAGCAAGTTGCGACACAAGCATCAGAATTGACCCTTCAGCTCTTAACATTTTGTCAAGAACGTCGGAACTCGCTCTCCACAGCTCTCAATCTTGGAGTGCAGTCGTGCATGCGTGCGGCTGCGGAAAGGTACCCGCACACACTTCCTAGCACCCGTTCTTCACACAGCCAAACACAAATATCTTCGAAGAGATAGAATGAGACAACAAATGGCAGGAAAATAGTTATCAAAAGGGCGAGTAAGCACCATACACGACAAGTCCACTGGATATATCCCGAGGTTGTCCCGTATCGGAACAACCAGGATATCTTAACTGCATGCACAAACATGCAGAGCCATAGAGACATTGCATGGTACAGGGGCTCACGCACATGTCAGCTTACATTGCCATCAAGTCGTCGGCATCGGCGTCGCCCGCCTCACGTGCGGTGGATCGGGTGAAAAGGGAGTGGGGTGGGGGACGAGAGTCGATGGGGTGGGTGTTCCAGGTTATTCGGACGGGTCATTTTCAGCCCTGAAGAGGTCATAACAAGGGGGTACGAGTTGCAAGTTGAGTTGAAACCACGATAGCTGGTAGACCACAATGATACTCCAGAAGTTCCATGATCGATCGAGAAGTTTGGAAAATGTTATGTTAAACTTTTAATATATTGAGAATATTTTCAATTTACGAAATTATTTCAAGCTGCGCGTGTGAACGAAACTACCCCCACCCACATGAACAGGAATACCCCCAGCAAGTGCTAATCTGCGGGGTAGTTCCCCTCCATCCACCGGGTCCTGACGAAGATTTCCCCAGAACGAACTACGGGTAGTGATCATGAGAATGTCCTGAGACCTGGTCCTCTTGGATGACCCCTATTTTCGATAATCTACCCCTACTTCAGCGTCAGTTGTGAGATCATCAAACTATGGTATCAAGGCCATCAATTTTACTATCAATACACAGGGAAATTTTATCTACTAACATACCTTGAGAAAATTCAACCACAGATTATCACCCTTGAATGCAGAGCACCCCACCAAATCGGTTGACCACCCCAAATATACTACCCCTACCCCCTAGAATGCTTCTGGTTGACCAAAGTTTGTTGACATGTTCCCGCCTTCCATGCTCGAACCGCATCCCCCTCCCTCCCCCCTCTCTTGCTGAACCTGTCCTCCCCTTTTCTTCTCCTTCCTATCCGGCTCTTGATACCTCCTGCTGCTGGTCTCGTTCTAGATCTCTCCGCCTATTTCTCTTCTGGCTCCTCCGCTCCCTTCCCCACAACATGCCCCTCATGACTAGTCTTCATCCCCGTCCAGAGCTGTTCTCGTCCTTGAAACCCGCACTGTCCCGTGTCCTGTGATTTATTCCGTGAAACATTTTTATGTCCTTGGCTGAAAATTCAAGCTTGTTTGCTTGATGCCGAGATGGACCCTTCCTGTGTTCTTCGAACTTTTGTTCCCTATTCTCCTGTCCCGGCTTCTTGACACTAGTGTGGTGCCTCTTCTGCAACTGCTTTTCTCTTCCTGCTTCACTCCACCAAATCTACTCGAAAATGTCAAAAAGCATATTCCTGCATGCATTTGTGTAGATTTCATGAAGAGGAAGAGAGTCGAAAATTGATGAATCGCGAACTACTTTGTTTATACCTTCTATTCCCCCGTCCTTATCTGTGTATTTTTGCGACAGAGAATTACCAATCCAAAAAAAGCTCTTATCAGTCGACTTGTATCTCTGCGCTCAGCATTCATCTTTTATCACATTCTGATGACTGATTCATTGTTTCTTCCAGCATTTGAAGCTGCCTGGCTGCTTGGCTCCTTGACCTTGTCTTCGCGGCAAGGTGCTTCTATTCGAAAGTTGGTCTAACTGTGTCTTGTCAACATCTCTTCAGCTACGATTAATCAAATATACACCCGCGAGCCATCTTCAACTGGCAGCAAATATCGGAAGTGCAGTGTAGAGTCCAGTTGTTCTCACTCGGTGTTATCTTCGAAGAATACACCGAGAAAGGAAGATAGAGCTATGGCTGCCCTAAAATTCAAGGAGATCGGCAATGCGCGTTACAAGGAAGGGAAATATGCAGAGGCGATCGAGGCCTATGGTAGTGCCATTGACGAAGATCCGACGAATTGCACCTACTACAGTAACAGGGCTGCAGCGTATCTCATGCTCAAAAAATATGATGAGGCATTGAACGATTGCAAAAAGATCAGTGAATTGGACCCTTCGTTCACAAAAGCATACACACGCGCTTCAAAGTGTTACAGTCAACGAGGGATGATTATGGAAGCCAAGGCTGTCTTGAGCGATCGCTTGAAAGAGGATGAAAGCAATGAAGAGATCTTGAAAGAATTGGAAGTGTTGAAACAGGTTGAAAATGACCTGCACCTCGCTCAAGAACACCTCAACAAAGATGACTACGACCGGGCCAGTTACTATGTGGAACGTGTCCAGTCTCACTGTACAGATTCGTCACATGTATTGCGCATGAGAGCCGACTTATTGATTGGTCGCAAGAAGTATGAAGATGCTGCAAGCATCTGCTGGGCTCTTCTTGCAAAGAACCGGCTGGACCCAGACTTGCTTTTCTTGCGAGGTAAGGCGCTTATGTACAGTGGGTCGACAGATCAAGCGATGAAGCATTTAGAAGAAGCTCTACGTGTTGATCCGGATCACTCGAGAGCGAAGCAGCTGAGGAAATCTTTCAAGGAAATGGAAAAGTTAAAGAACTCTGGCAACGACTTCTTCAAGGAAGGCAAATGCAATGAAGCGATCAAGCTTTATACCGAGGCAATGGAGCTAGACCCAAAGAACGCGAACTATAATAGTACGCTCCTCTGCAATCGAGCAGCAGCAAAAATGCGGCAACGAAAGTTCAAAGAAGCCTTGGAGGATTGCAATGAAGCACTCCAACTTAACGAAACATATGTCAAAGCTGTGACAAGAAAAGCCGAATGCTTGTTGCAGATGGAGGAATACGAAGATGCAGTCCGTGAATGGGAGAAAGCGACAAATATGGACTCAGAGAATCGTGAATACAAGGCAAAGCTTAGAGAAGCTAAGCTGGAATTGAAGAAATCCAAGCGCAAGAATTATTACAAGATCTTGGAGGTAACTAAAGATGCAGACGAGTCGGAAATCAAGAGAGCATATAAGAAGATGGCACTCAAATTCCATCCCGATAAATGGAACAACGCAACAGACGAGGAGAAAGAGGATGCCGAGAAGCAGTTTAAGGAGATCGGCGAAGCATATTCGGTTCTCACCGACCCACAGAAACGGAGGAGATACGATGCCGGCCAGGTATGCAAGGGCGTTGTAATGACTGCATGGGCTCACACACCGATTGCGCAGGACATTGAAGAGCTAGATGGAGGAGGAGGAGGATTCCACTCAGACATTGATCCCAATCAGGTTAATGCATTTGCTCTCTCACGAATACTTGCTGATGCAAGAAAACGCAGATCTTTGAGATGTTCATGGGTGGCGGGATGGGCGGGATGGGCGGGATGGGCGGGATGGGCGGGATGGGCGGGATGGGCGGCGGACCAGGGATGAGATTTTCCTTCAGGGGATAGCAGCGGAAGATGTGTAAGTACTCGCCTGATGCTGTAATTACTTAGTAGTACGTTCCACTCACAGACTTGAAACTCAACAAATGTAATCAGTGACCGTACCGTACCGTCGCCGCCGTACTGAGTAACACACGGCGGCCCCGGGCCGGGCCGGGTGTGATACCGCGGCGCGACAGTGCCTGGCCTGGCCCCCGGAGTCACTCACTACGGTACCCCGGCCAGCCTCGGAGTAACCATGAACCTTACAAGTTAGCCTAGTAGTACTAACTTCCGATGGTCAAGCACAGCGGCGACTCCGTGACCACGCCAGCTGAGTACGGTACGGTCACCGTAGTACGGTCACGGGTAGTGACACCGTGACCGTCGGTGACCGGGGCCCGGGCCGCCGGCGCGGCACACTGACAGCCGGGAGCACGGGGGTGGCCGCGGGCAGGGCCCGCGGGCCGGCCGCCCCGGCCGGGCGCCGGGCACCCGGCCGGACTTTTCAACTTGTAAAAATATTTTAAAGGTAATTTTTAGAAACATTGCGCTTAATAACTATTTTTAGCTCAAACATTGTTATCTCAAGCTCATCTCGCTGGAAAGATCCGACCTTGGCTCTGTTGGCAGAGGAACTTCTAGCGGGATAATTGCAAGAACTTTTCCGGAATTTGAGGGCCCCATCAAAACTGGAAGGTTCAGTTTTACATCAAAAGTTCAGACGTTTCGATGAACAATTTCGTAAAAGTCTACTATAAGTTCTATGTGCTTCACAGAGAATCACCCGGCGAGCTGCGACCCATAGTTTATAATAGTATTATATTCGATCAAAGGTGGGTGGAGGGTGGGGTAGGTGATGGAGCGGAGTGGTAGGGTGGTTCAGAATGTATCAAAACTGAAAGGGTAGGGTGGGGTAGCGGTGTGGGTCGAACAATCTTTCATCCCGGGGGTTCAGCTTCTGTAAGGGCCTCAAGTACCCCTTCTATGACAGGAATATTCAAGGGTACTTTTGGGTCAATAGCTTGTTTCAGTGCAGAGGGTAGGGTTGAACTCGACTGGGGTAGAACTTCGCTGGATCAATAAAGATTGGGGTGGGTCCTTGATGGTGGAGGTCGCATAAAGGGTATACCCATCAATCAACCCTGCCCATGGGGGGTAGGGGTACCCTAGTTTCGGTCGAGGGGGTGGTTTACACTTGAGATGGTCTCATGTGGGTGGCTGTCGGTCAGTCTGGTGGGGTGTGTAAACGAAGGGGTTCTTGATGTGGGGTGGGTCATCAAGAAGGACGGGTTGGATAGGAAAAAGGTGGGGTCCGCACGTTGTAATGCAGAGGGATTCGCTGATATTCGATGGGTAGGGTGGTAAAGAAACAGGGGGTAATTGAATGGAATTTGAAGTGAGGGGGTGGGGTTGCAAGGTAGGGGTGGAGTAATCAGGCGAGAATGATGGGGAAATGGTTTGGTGGGGAGTCCACAGCGTGGAGAACAGAAGACAAGAAGACTATGGGAGAGGAGCTGATAGATCATTGCTACGAACAAAGAAGCTTGTTGTGTGGCATGTAGTCTGGTGAATCTTTAGAGTGGAACAAAGATATGGAAACTTCTCCATCGTCGTAAGGGGTTGGAGTTAGTAGCTCATACATCATACACTCCAGGGTGTGATGATGTGTGATGATAGGCGAGGTAGCTCAGGTTTGATTACACCGGATGTCTTCATTTCATCTAAATAGTTTGTGTCATTTATGTGCAGAGCGCAAAGTGTTTGATATGATTGTGAGCCAAATACCATGTTACGGCTGCTCCATTGATGATTGACAGCTCCTCCTCCCTGTTACGCGAGCAGAATGCAATTCATCTTTCAATTGCTCATGTCTTTTTTTTAGATGAGGGTTCCTACCAGTTCTGGCGTATCGAGAGTGGTTGACTGCTCTCGATATGCAAACGACTTCAATCAAGGCTGATTGTGCTCAGGGATCCAACATGGACGAGGTTGAGCAGCGAGAAGCTGAAAGATCCTTTGCACATGGCCGAGCACAGCATCCCAGTCCCCCTTCATTAGTGATCATGCGACAGGCTGTCAAACGAGGCACATGGCTGCCGGGACTGAATGCTGTGCTGAACGGAAGCCCTTCTCAATGTGACTGGTGCATCTCACGCCTTGGCAATAGCAGCTTCGTTCGTCGTCGTCGTCGGAGCAGCAGTCCACTGTCTATGGAGGGGGGTATCAGGTCCAGCAAGATACAGCCGCGAGTTTTGGAGGGTGTAGGGTTATTGATTATTGCTTGTTTCCAAATGCTTTCTCAATTCTTCAAGAGTTATTGCTCTTCAATTCTGATGATTGCTGTATTCCTATCCACTACATCGGCTGATAGTGGACTTCGAAGCTCTGAATCTAGATGTGAGCGCGGGGGGGTCCCCCATGTTTCTAGCGTGGTTGGAATGCACAGTCGAGGAAGATTGTACCCCTCTAATGATCCAAGAACGAGCAGGCTGAAAGAGTTGAATGTCGGTGACGACGCGAATTGCAGCTCATGGAAAGACATCAGGATGCAGTTCAACAGAGCGATGGCGCAGCTGCAGAGCAACGCGCATCAGCCCTCTGCTAAAGAAACAGCGAAAGAGCTCAACTGCTGGCTCATGCACCTACTGTCACAACCCGACGCCAATATGAACTCGCACGAACGGAAGGCTTTGCTCCTAAACTTGAAAAGAATCTCACAGCTGCAAAAAGAGAATCTGCGACTGAAGCTCGAGCATGCCACGAGGTCCGAAGCTCCTATTGTCAACAGCGCGAGTCAAAATTATCCTGTTCGGAAGGAGCTCGCGCCTTCGCAGAGGACAGATCGGTGTGTTGTGCAGACTGAGTTGTCAAAGCCCGGAGCCACAGTTCGCAGGAACAGCGCTGCTCAGAGCTACGCCTTTCATCGGCCAGGCGCGCGGTCGTCGGCACCGCAGGGCTCTGTGGGTACAGCACCCTCTCCTTTCCCTCCAGGGCAGCAAGTTTCACGCAATCAGATCTGCAACAAGTTAGGGGCGTCTAATGTCATCTGTGAACAGCGAGATGCCGGAGGTCAAAGTACTGGCACAAATGGGGAGCTGGGTGCAGCTTTGCGGCAGCTGGATCAGATGCGAGAGCTGAACCGCCAGCTGGCACATGAAGTGTCGGCACTTGTGAACGAAAACCTCCGCCTAAAGTCAGTGCTGCATCAGGTAAGAGAGTAGAAGGAAGGCCGTTATCGTCAAGACCTGACAGCTCGTTTCTCCAGGCTCAGTCGTCATTGCTTGAGGCAGCGGTTGCACAGGTTTCTCCTATGGAGGTCGCGGCGGAGAGAGCGGTACCAGATGTTGTGAAAGCAGCAGCAACCCTGCTCCACGACCGGAATGGTCCTGTGCTACAGGGTGGAACGGATCCACTCGAGAGGGGTTTAGTGATGGCGTCGGCTGCACTGTTGAAGCGCACTGGCCTGCACGTCGGGGACAGAGTCCAACTCAAGAGGAACTTGTCAAGAGATCGGCTGGGGACAAGCGTCAACTCTACTGGGGTGATGGGTCATGTGCTGCCTGCTGGTGGTCTGTTGACGCCTGCTGCAGGGGGCGTTTCTTGGTGTGCTGATCGGGGAGGCTGGGGAGGAGGATGCAACTGTTTACCTCCACATGGATGACAACCAGGTACGTCGATCAGCTGCGGTTGTCGTCTGGTGACGGCTGGTCAGGTCCGCCAGTTCAGCTTGTCGGAGATCGACCTCCCTCAACCGCCGGAGAGCACTACTCCAGCTGAGGTCAGTCGCACAGCACGGGGCCAGCAGTGTTAACTCTTGCGAACAGGGAGGGTCGGACGACCTGCTGGATTGCAAGGTGACAGAAAGCAACTCAGAGGAGCAGAGCACGTTGCAAGGTCCGCCGCTCTAGCAGGACATGTGGATATGGCAATGAAGGATCTTAGTGGGATATTAGCAAGGGTATGCAAGAGGAAAGAGGAGGGGGGGGGGCGGGAGGAGGAGGAGGAGGACGGATTCTCGGTTTTATTGTCAAAACTTCCGCTCTCCGTTGGCCGAGAAGCATGCGACTACATTGTAGCCGGGGTTCTCCGTTCGCTGGCCGGGGGCTCCGCGAGCGCTCGAGGCGTCCCTGGCAGGAAGGGGAGAGATTCAATGCCAGAGGCGCACGCGGAAGCATCAAAAGATTTATTGAAGAAAGCAGAGGGGAGGCGAGGTGGGCTAGAGCAGCAGAATGGTCTTACCCCTGGTTGCCCGACTTGGCAGCGTTGGCGGCAGCCTGTGCGGCTTTTGCCTCGAGCTCCATCTTCCTCTACTGCCTCGTCACTGCGAGGAGGAGGAGGAGGAGGAGGAGACTGACCTGGGGAGCTGAAGCTATCAGAGCATGAAGAGCTGCTTGTCTGTCCTGCGGCCAATCCGACATGGACTCCTGTACCTGCAGCAGGAGGCGTCATGGGGGGCGGGGGGGAAAGAGCCTGGGGAGAGGAAACAGGAAAGAGAGGGGACGAGAGGGAGGGAGCGAGTTCGGCGTACCTTAACCCCGAAATTTTGTTGGAACTGCATGAAGATCTCATGGAAGAACAAGACCTCGTCCACCTGCTGGTCGTTAACTCCTCCAGCAGCAGGCAAGGCGATGACTTTACATCGTCGATGGGGGTGATGTACTCGTCGTCATCGTCCTCATCGTCGGGGAACAGATCCTCCCACGCGCATCCTCCCTCCCGAAAGTTGTACAGCTTCATCAACACCTAGAGAGCAGGAAGAGGAGGAGGAAGTTAGGGCAGCAACTGTCATGGTACAGTCTCGCTCACTGAGTCCATATCCGCTCCTTCCTTGAACTCGTCCTCCTCGTCATCAACATCGAGCACGCCGTCATCCTGTCACGCCCTGTCACCCTCCTTCCATTCCCCTCCCCTTCCTCCTCCACGCACATCGTCATCCTCCTCGTCATCGTCACCCTGTCGGTTCGCAATCTCCTCCTTGAGCTTCTTGTTGTTGGCAAGATCCTGCCGCAAGAAGTGAGCGACAGCTGCACAGGGGGGAGGAGGAAGAGCGAGATAGCAGCAGGGAGAAGTGGGGAAGGGGGGGGGGGGGGGTAAAGGAGAGCAGCAGGAGAGGAGGAGAGGAGGAGAGGAGGGAGCAGCAGCAGTGGGAGGGAAGAAGGAGGGAGGAGAAGATGTGTTCACCTCCTGCAGCTCTAAGATCGCCCGGAGGATGTGCGAGAGGCCGCCCGACACGGAGGGAGGCATATTGGGCACGGGGACCTTGAGGATTGACGTCAAGCCGAGGATGCAGACTTTCTGATCATGAAGCCCCTTGAAGTGACTCCTGCGATCTTGGTCAGATCCTTACCGTCATCGACCCCCTGCCTCCTGCCTCCTGCCTCCTGCCTCCTGCCTCCTGCCTCCTGCCTCCTGCCTCCTGCCTCCTGCCTCCTGCCTCCTGCCTCCTGCCTCCTGCCTCCTGCCTCACTTGATCGGTCTTTCGTCCCCTTCCTTCTTTTCTTCCAAAGCTGAGATCGCCGAGAGCCTGGTGGAGGCCAAGTGAGTTGATGACGACATGGAGGAGAACGCGAAGGGAGACAGGTGACCGAGAGAAGTTCAGGGATAGACAAGGGGGGGGGGAGGGGGAGGAGGGGGGGAGGGGGACAAGAGTGTTCACCATGCATGGAACACGTTCACAATGGTCCCCTGCTGCTCCAACGCCGTTAAAGTTCCTTCTGCATTGTAGAAGAGACAATTGGCTATCATCTTGAACAATTCGGTGCGGCAATACGCTCTTGACGCAGGGTTGGACAGCAATCTGACACAATCACGGTTAGCATGAGTCCTGAGTGGCAGGGGAAGAAAGAGAGACCAAGGGAGAGGAACAAAGAGTTGGCGCAAGGGAGAGGAGGAAGGAGAACGGGGTTCGAAGATGAGGAGGCAGGGTAGAGGATGAGAACGAGAGTGAGGAGAGAGAAGGAGCAGGGAAGGAGAGGAGGAGGAGGAGGAGGAGAGACAGGAGGGGAGACAGGAGGGGAGGAGAGTGGACCTCTGGCAGCTGAGCTGGAGCAGAGGAGGGATGTAGGAGTCGATGGCTCCCTTGCAGTTGAGGATGAGGCTCTCAGAAAGCTTGCAGGCCTCGACGAGGTCACGCTCCGACGAGTCCTCGTGCTGCATAACCTTGTCGATCATGCGGTAGACCGTCAGCGGGTGCTCCGGGTTGGAGAGAAAGACGGTGGTGCTCCTGGAGATGTAGTTGTCGAGGGGGAGGTTGATGTTGGAGAGGTAGTCGAAGGCCCAGTCGAAGAAGGACTTGGTGAGGAGGGGGAAGAGGGACCAGACGCCCTCGGAGATGGTGGGGCTGTAGTAGGTCAGGTAAGTCAGGATCTCAAGGAACTCTTCCATGAACTCCATGTACACGTAGTCCCCCGTCGAGTCGGGCGACAGCACCTTGGCAAGCAGGGGCACCAGGTTGGGCTCGAGCGAGTGGTACAGCTCGGGAGTTTTCTTGATGGAGTCGAGCAGGGTCTTGATCGCCGAGCAGCACTGGGACGCAGCGATCGCCGCGTCGTCCTCCCCCTCCCCCTCCGACGACGTAAGGCGGAGGAAGTGCTCCGAGAGCCTCTGGCAGAGCTGTTGCGCGTAGGGGGCCATCTCGTCCTCGAAGCACTCGATGAGGATCTCGAGGCTTGCTATCAGCTCGTCGCTCCCCACCTCGTCGATGAGGCCGAACAGCTTGTCCAGCAGCTGCGGCAGGAACCCTGAGAGCAGCGGCAGGACTCCCGTCCTCGCTGCCCCCTCGTCCATGTCGTAGATGAAGAGCCTCAGCGCGATGGCTGCCTGGAAGCGGACCGGAAGCTCAGCGTCCTGTAGCATGTTGATGATCTCCCCCAGCACACTTTGGAAGCAGCTCGGGTCCTTGAGGATCGTGTCCACGTACTGCGAGAGCGTCCAGGCAGCTCGGCTCCTCAGGTGCCCCTTGCTGGACTTCAGCTCGGGGATCGCGTACTTGACCAGCATGTCCCTCACGTGCCCCTCATACTGCGCCGCCATCTTCTGCTCCTGCAAGGCCCCGGCCAGCGATCCGATGCAGTACAGGGCCCCGTCCTTGAGCCGCGCGTTCCCTCCACCCTCAGCGTAGCTCTTCATGTGGCTGATGCAGAACTCGATGGTGGGGATGAGCGTCGTCTTGGTCCTCTTCTTGCAGAGGTTCACGACGAGCGAACAAGCGACGGAGCGCTGGCTGGAGTAGTCCTCCAGGAAGTCATACGTCTTGCGGATGAACTCCTGAGGGTCGCTCGTCCAGAGCTCCTCGTCCTCCTCGTCGAAGCAAATCATGGGGAACAGCACGTGCGAGATCAGCGCCATGCAGTTGGGCTTGAGGAGCTTCCAGGTGATGGCCAGCGTAATGGCGATGTCGATGAAGTGAAGGCCCTCGACCACCAGCGACTCGGGGAGGAAGACGCCGTCCGCCTTCTTCGCCAGCAGCTGCATGAAGAGCTGCAGGAAGCGGTTTGCAAGCTCGTTGTGGAACGCCTGCGACAGCTGGACTTCCCCAGCTCTGTTCGCCCCGAACTGCTTCTCAGCTACCTTGGGGCTGCCGTACTTCTCGAAGAGCCGATGGAGGATCTTGGCTGACCATCTCTTGCACTTCCAGAACACGAGCTTGTTCAGCTCATCCTTGTCAGCGTTGGGTCCTCCCTGAGCCTGCGGGGGGACCGGGGCCTCGATCACCCGGTACAGCAGCGACATCCACTCGACGAACCGACCGTAGTCTTGGAGGTAGAGGGGCACAGACTGGTGGACGCACGACCACAGGGACTTGATGATCACCTTCTGCATCTCCGCCGTCTTCTCATCCCCAGCATGTGACGACAGCGTCGCCTCCATGAGCGCTGGCAGCCGGGGAAAGGCCTTGGACATGATCTCGTTCAGCGGCTGCTCGCGCTTGTCGTGTGCCTTATATTCGTAGTTCTTCGTCAGCACCCTGAGGGCATAGAGGGCGCCCAGGATGTGCTCGGGAGGGATGGCGGGGTCAAGTCTTGCGGTGACCTCGTCCAAGAAGTTTGGCATCTTCTCGGGAAAGTCGTTGGACGCGATTCTCCTCAAGCTCTCGGTGATGACACCTCTGCAGGACAGTGAGGAGACACCAAGAGGAGAAGAGAGGAGAGGGAAGGAGGGTACACAGCACGGCATGACCGGGCGAGGCGAGGTCGGAGGGAAGGAGCGGAAGGAGAGAAGAAGTGGAGGGCAAGTGGAGGAAGAGAGTAGAAAGGGGCATGCAGCTCTACCTGCACCGATGATCTGCCATCACGATCGCTTCTAGAATATTCTGACGGATGAAGTTCCTTTCATCGTCTGGGATCACCCAATTGCAGCCCTGCAAGAATGCGCAAGATCAAAGACGAGCAAGGGGAAGGAGCAGCCTCCTCCTCCCCCTCCTCCTCCCCCTCCTCCCTCCTCCTCCCCCTCCCTCCTCCTCCTCCCCCTCCTCCTCCTCCTCCTCTTCCCCCCTCCTCCCCCCCTCACCTGCTCCTCCGTGGGTGTCGTCCTGTCCCAGTGCTTGTTGACCTGCGGCTTCTTCAGCGCTAAGAGATCGACACACACCCGCTCCCCCCTCCCTCCTTTGCAGCCCTGGGACGTACCAGGTTCTTGAAGTAGATGATCCCCGCCTGCTTGATCTCGATGGAGACCTCGTTGCTGTTCACCACTCGAAACAAGGATGAGATGTACCCCGGGGTCCCCTCAAAGTTCTGCCCAGGCACAAGAGTCAACGCGGACCTCTACCAACAGAACTACAGGTTTGGAATGAGTGGGGGAGGGGATACCTTCAACAACGCTTCCGCAGCCTCCCTCTCCTTCTGGTTCGGACTCAGGGTGGCGGCAAGCGCTGAGTAAATGGCCTGAAGATCCATCTCCGCTCCTTCCTTTGAGAGGCTCTCCTGCAGCAACCCACGTCATCCGTGACATAAACATACTTCGGCGACATTTCGCAAAGTGACAGCGGTAACAGTGTTGTGTGCTCAACGGGAACAACAACAGCACGCAATTCCACACATCTGTCTCACTTCAATTCTCCTGTCCTCCTAGCTGACTCAGTTTTCATGCTCAGATCCTCGTCATGGTCTTCATTCACTACTACTTAGCCTAGTCCTCAATCCAGCTCAACGATTCTTCTTCACTGACAAGATCAACCGTGACTGATGGAGTTCTTCCTCCTCGTTGAAGACTCTCCTCTCATTCAATCAGCTCTTCCTCCTCCTTCCTGCTCCCTCCATCCCGCCCTCCCGCCCTCCCGCCCCACACCGCAAGTCCTCATAGTCTTGTGCATGTACCCAAGACCGGCAAGGGGATCAGCATTGGATGGGGTGAGGGTAGTACCTCTGTGGGACTAATCCATGGGGGTGGGGTAGTCTATTTCAAAGGGGTGATCGTCAAAACTTTGTGTGAAAAGTAGGGGTAAAATCAAAGAAAATGAGGGGTAGTGAAAAAGATTCAGGGGTGATAAAGGATAGTGGGTGGGTATGTTAGTGGGTACAGATACGCGAACTACCCCCCTTTCCGTAAGGTTTACCATAGTGGTGGGGTGATAATACAGGCTGAGAGGGGGGTGGTAGGATGGGGGTGAGGGGTGCACGTGAAGAATATCATTTTACTTATCGAGTTGCATTTCCAGTCTGCCTCAGCATCTTGGATTCTCAAATTATGAAGACAGCAATATTCAAATACGCGACACTCATTGAATGAAACTTCCCTGTCTACCTCCGACATGACGGCGGCGCGGGCCCGTTGGCTTTCCGTCACCTTGAACAAGTCACTCCACCGTCATCACCGTGACCGCCGGCTCCGTGAGGGCCCAATGAGTCAGTAATAGTCACACTCTGAGTGAAGTCACAGTGATCGGACGGGCCCGTCCGTCACTGACTCAGTGAGAGTCACAGTCCGGAGCTCGCACTGTCACGGCGCCAGGGCCGCTTGAGTCAGTGAAAACCGCCGGCAACTTGAAAGTTTACTCAGTGACGGTACTACGGCGGCAAGTTTTGAAGACTTGTTGCTGACTGAGCCTCGGAGCTCCAGCGGCACCGATCTTGAGGCAGCGGACTCTCCGATGGCTCATGCATGAGCTCTGTTGATATTTCTATCGATGACTCGGAGGCTCCCGTTGGCTCCTAGATCCACAGCAGATGCCGAGAACCTTCTGGCATGGAACGCATTCTTGCTGGAGACTCTGCTGGTCTCGCTTCCTCCGTTCACCCTACCAACCGTCGCTCTCCTTTGGCTGCCATTCACCTTCATGTCCACCTCTTGCGTCAGGAACTCGTCGAAGCTGTTCGCTCGCTTCAGGGCATCCACCAGCACCAAACCTGCTCAGCTCGCCTCACTCCGACAGCCCCCGCAAGCTTGTCAACACACCTGGCATGACAGCTCGGGTCGCCGGTGGAGCAACGGCCCCGTACTTACCAACATGATGATACCGACTTGACCCATCGGCCATTGACACTGTGACTCGCTCCCTCTCATCTCTCCCGTCTCCTGCATGCTCCTTCTTGTCCTTGGGGCGGCTCTTCGATGCCTGCATCGACCCGTTCATCCCTCCCAGCAAGTAGTCGAGCACTTGGTTGGGGTCGTCGCCCTGTAGGACAAGTGAGGACAGCAGCCAAGAGTCCACGAGAGGAGGAGGACGTGGAGGATGGAGACAAACTGATGCAGGAGCTTACTCTCAGGTATTTCATCGATGGGACGCGCTTGACTCTCTGCACCTTGCCGTTGCTGCCCCCTTGCTTCTGACCTTCACTTGTCGACTCGTCTGCATCAAATCCCCATCAACTCTCACATCCGCAGGACTTCCTCTCCTCACCTGAGCCTCCAGCTGGTCTCTCGAGCGAAGAGAGCCGGCAGATCATCGTCTTGATGTCGTTCACTGAGTGCTCGAGACGGTCCAGGCGAGTCTGCGTGTCCTCCATGTGCTCGCCGACCCGCATGAACTCTTCCCGAGAGATCTTCCCGTCCCCGTCCACGTCCATCTTGTCGAGCACGTAGTTCATCTTGAATTCAGGGATTCCCAATTCCGAGAGCGCAATCCTCGCTTCGTCGAGGTCCAGCACTCCGTCTCGGTTCACGTCTTGGGCATAGAACACTTCTGAGAGCATGGCAGTTCCTTTCGACGAGAAGCCCCAGGAGTTGATGATTCTTGCGCTGTTCTCAGCAATGAGCTCCAGTCGCTTCAGCGTCAGCATAATCGCCAGCGTCTCGTAGCTCTGAGTCTCATGCATCGCGTTGGCCAGCACTCTCTGGGAGTATCGCTTCAGTTCCTCTCGCATGATCTCTTGGAACTGATCGCTGCCAAACTCCTTCTGCGTGTTGCACAGCCTGCCATTCTCCGTCAGGACCTCGAAGTCTTCCTCGAGGATGTGAATCGGCGAAGATGTCGGCAGCTTCTTGAGCCCTTTCTGAAACTCCTCGTAGTTGAGGCCTCCCGACCCGTCCGAGTCAAGTCGCTCGTACGTCTCGCTGATCCTCGACGTCAGGTCCTTCTCCGACACGAAGTGAGACAAGTGAGCTGTGAGCGGATCTAAAACTCCGCACGCCCTCCTTGCCTTCTTCTTCCTGTCCTCCTCCTCCGCCTTTTCCGTCTGGATGGCTTCTTTTCCTGCTTGGAGCGAGGAGATGAACTCATCCAGCAGAACCGCCACCACCACGTTGATCAAGAAGACGCCAGCCAGCAGAGCGTAGGAAACAAAGAAAGTCGCCACCCACATATCTCGGCTCGTTGTAACAGTCCCATCATCAAGCAGCGAACGCGAGACTGCAGAAGCCCAGCTGTAAGAGAAAGTCAGCAAGAGGTTGTTGAGGGCGAGGGCAAAGGAGCAGCCAGTACCTGTCCCCTGTCATCACTTGAATCATCTGCCACACGTGATTCAATCATCAAACATTCCATTCCCAAGCACGCCATAGAGCGACGTACCGTGAAGAGAGAGGAGGTAAAGTTGCCGAAGTACTCAGGGCTCCTTTCGTGGAAGAGGTGAGTGCCAAGAGCAGACCAGATGGAAGTCACGAGGAGCAGGATGGCCATGCTGTTTGCAACAGGAATCAGCGCAGAGATCAGCGCTGTGATGATGCGGTTCAAGGAACGAAACTTGCGAAACAAGCGAGCCACGCGGAAGACTCGTATGAGTCGAAGAGGTTGCAGTGAGGGAAGTCCAGGGGCGAACACGACGGTCAGAGAGACTGTCACAATCACAAGATCTAGAATGTTCCATGCATCCTGGTAGAAAGCTTTGAAGAAGTGGGCTGACCGTGAAAACAAGTTGACGGCAAGCTCGAAAGTGAAAATGCTGGTGAAGACAATGTCCAACAAGTCGAACATCGCAGCAGCACTCGTGCCATCGGCAGGCAGCACTTGCGCCTCCCACACGTCAATTGCAAAGCAGGCAATGAGAACTGTGGCAAAGAAGGTCTGGCTATGCATGGACTCATAGAGCCTCAAGACTTTTGCTCTGAAACGAGACAGCTGGCTGCCGGCGTACTCGATTTCTCTTCTTGCTTTCTCTTGTACGATCTTTGCAGCCTGACACTGCTTCTGAAGATCGTTGAGCCACATGTCAAATTCTTCTGGATCTGGACGGCAAACGTAGGTTCTTCCGCTGTTGTGACCATCCTTGGTGGTCTGGATGATGAGCGCTTTTTTCACCGTGTCGTCCCCCTTCTCCAGCGTCGACTCCGTCAGGATATCAGCGATCTCGTGCAGAGGGATCTCATCAGATACGATCTTCGAGTCCTGCTTTGCGAAAAAGAGCGTGTCCGCTGTCAGCACCGCCTTCACCTTGTGCCAGGTGATCGTCGATGACACTCGCTTCCTATCGAGAAACCCGAACCGCAGAAGACCATCTACCGGGAGCTCGAGCCCGCTCTTCTCTTGTACTGGCGCAGAATATAGATCCGGCTGATTCGACTTGTGCAAGCTCTGAAGGATGATGGCAGCGGCCATGGCAGTAGCCCTGCAAGACGAAATCAGCACTCATCCAAAGAATTCCAACATCAAGTGTCTTCAAGAGCTCTCATGAATCCTACATCTAGTGTAAGGAGGCTTCAACTCATTGATTCAATACTTTGCATGTTTGATTTTGCTATGCACAATCGTTCTTGCATGTTCGATGATTGATCTATCTCTGACTACCACCAGAAGCCGATGGATCAACCCGACGACAATGATTCTGAACACCTTCACGTCGAAGTCATCGAGGGCGACCCTCGACTCTCAAGGCTATCTATCATCTTCTTCTCGCATCCTCTTCCTTGATCATAACATCGCGCCATGCTTCCAACTCCTCGTCGTCACTGCCATGGCTCCTCCTCTTCCCTAGTGTCACTGCCATGATGTCGCCTGCAGTGTCAGACGAGGCGGTAGACCCGGTGACTACCCCCATTGACAAAATCGTATTGCCCCGACCCTGGAAAGGGGGGTGGTCGACCCTAATAGTAAACTTCCGAGTCCCGGCCTGAGTCCGTCTGACCTCCCACCCCTACCTCCCCTCTCACCGCTGACCACCCTGACCCACCCACTTTACAAATTGGATGGGGGTAGGACATTGACCCTCGGACTCGGACGGCACCCGATCAATGACAGTGACCACCCCCACCCTCTTTATCCATGCATGGAAGTACCCCTCTCCCTGATGTGGAAGTTGACAAAATACTTAACTACCGTACTAACCTCCAGTACTACCCCTCCCCCCCGCCCCCCCCCTTCCCTCGCTGAGGTGTCACTACAGGCCCAGTCATACGGTCATCAAATTGACTAATTTGTCATGAGGCGGGCGTGCCAGTACGTTTTTACCCAGTCAGTTCCGGGCACTCCCCGGGCGGCCCGGCCCCCATCATCGCAGTTCAAACCTGCCAGTGCGCGGAAGATCGGATGATCGGATGTCTCGTTGACAGGGTAGGGCGATGGGGAAAGAAGACTCGGAGGTCTTGCAAAGCTCCAGGCTATTGAAGTCAGCCATCATGCATAGAACCTCCCTTGCCATGCTAGCGAGCGGCAGGACGCAGGCTGACAAGGTGGAGCGACGCATCGCTGCTCTGACTTTGAGCCACCCGTCGGCACACAACCCCGTGAGCCCGACCCTCCCACAGACTCGTCGGACGGGAGGGGCTGACAGGAGCATGGCAGGTATGCAGCGTTGCGTTTCGATCGAAGCTCGGCCTGGACGTGTATCACGGTAGAGGAGGTGAGCAGCCGTTGATGTCGCCCTCTGCCTGACGCTCATGGGGACCTGCAAGAGGCCGGAGACAACCAGCACACCGCAGAGGTGATGATGTCGTTTATTTCTCCTCTCTCGATCTCCTCTCCCTCTTCCTCTCTCCCTCTTTCCCTCCCTCCCTCACTCTCATCCTCTCTGTCTCCTACAGTACAAGACCGCCGAGTGGACGCGGCCGAGCTCAGCCATGCACTTGTCCAGGCCTCAGGTGGATGACGCGGCGTGACGCTGCCCGAGGGCCTGACGGGTGAGCAGAAGCAGGAGGCTCGAGCAGCCATCGAAGCAGCGCAGCTCGCCCTAGGCCATCCCATCTGACCCCTTGTCTGAGCCCCAGCTGTCGGACCCTGCATGTTCTCCTCCTCTACTTGAAGCAGATACACACCGACGGGGAGCAATCGTCTCCTGTGCAGTTGAGATACCAGCTCAACCACCCTTGGTCGATGTCCGGCTGCTCGTCCGCCCGCATGCTGCTGCTGCCCACCAGCAGTCTGTGTCTGCTCTCCTGCTCTTCCGCGTCTGGGGCCGGGGAGCTTGTAGTCCCTTCCGCCTCTCCTCCCGCCCGGCCGGCCTTCTTGTACGGCCATCGCCTGACGCCGAGCCGTCGGCAGCTCGCCTTGAAGGTCGTGAGGCTGATGCCTACAGCCTTTGCTGCCTGCGGCTGCGGGAGATGAAACAACGACTCGAGCCGACGTCGGTCGAGATGCACGTCCGTAGCTCGATGCAAGGAGAAGCAGGTCCTGGGACGAGGGGCGATGGTGACTGCAGGGAGGGGAAGCGCGAGAGGAAGAGGAGGAGCCGCCATGGCGACACGCAACTGTGTAGGGCAGGGCCTTCGGAGCTTGTGGTGAGGTGTAGCAGCTGGCGGCGAGGAAGGAGGAAGGGGAGGGGAGGAGGAGGGAGGAAGGACAGCGGGATCATGGGTTGCTATTAGGAGGCAGCCAGGGAGAGCAGCTGCGGATGGCGGGGACGATGTTGTGGAAGGAGGGACGACGGATAGAAATGTGGAGGGAGGGGAATCCTTTCCTCCGATTGGAGGAAAGTCCCTATACCCCACCCCGTAGGGTATACTGGTCTAGGGGGACAAATAAGGGTGGTAGACGAGAACTCTCCTCAAGGCATGATAGGTTTTCATTCCCAAGGCTATATAAGTGGTTTATTATCCAGTGCTCACGGACCATCGCCACGACTCACGTGACCCCTCTAACTCGAGTAAAGCCACTGAAATCAGGTCTTTTGCCCTCATCATGGCATTGGAGCACGTCGCCCTAAAACACTTGTTACCAACAGCCTAGCCACATGGAGCCCACGTGTACGGAACAAGAGGAGTAGCAGTACCATTGTTGGAGTATCTGATCATGATGGGAGGAGAGAGTCACCTGACTTACTTAAAGTTATTGTTATAGGAAAGTACGAGTGGTACCCACTTGAAGAACTTTCTATGAGCTGCTTTACTCGAAGGTATGTCAGCAGTCACTCCCCAATACCACCACGGTAAAGTACGGTATACCCGTGACCCCCAAGTTCAGGGCCTGCCCCGTGATTTATTAGACCCGGAGGAGAGTTTTCGTCTACCACCCCTGCTTCCCTCAGAAAAACTTCTCATCCTCCGGGGTGGGGTGCATTTGGTGTTCCCCCACTCGGGGAAGGGTTCCCCCGCTGTTCTCCCTTGATCAGTCGCTCCTCCTCCTCTAACAACATCGTCCCCGCCCTCGACACATCAACAAACCCTCTTGAAATTATCTCTGCCCCTAATCTACCCTGCGCCCTCCTCCCTTCACCTTCCTCCTTCCAAGCCGCCAGCTGCTACACCTCACCACAAGCTCCGAAGGCCCTGCCCTACACACTTGCGTATCGCCATGGCGGCTCCTCCTCCTCCTCTCGCGCCTCCCCTCCCTGCAGTCACCATCGCCCCTCGTCCCAGGACCTGCTTCTCCTTGCATCGAGCTACGGACGTGCATCTCGACCGACGTCGGCTCGAGTCGTTGTTTCATCTCCCGCAGCCGCAGGCAGCACAGGCTGTAGGCATCAGCCTCACGACCTTCAAGGCGAGCTGCCGACGGCTCGGCGTCAGGCGATGGCCGTACAAGAAGGCCGGCCGGCCGGGAGGAGAGGCGGAAGGGACTACAAGCTCCCCGGCCCCAGACGCGGAGGAGCAGGAGAGCAGACAACGACTGCTGGTGGGCAGCAGCAGCATGCGGGCGGACGAGCAGCCGGACATCGACCAAGGGTGGTTGAGCTGGTATCTCAACTGCACAGGAGACGATTGCTCCCCGTCGGTGTGTATCTGCTTCAAGTAGAGGAGGAGAACATGCAGGGTCCGACAGCCAGGGCTCAGACAAGGGGTCAGATGGGATGGCCTAGGGCGAGCTGCGCTGCTTCGATGGCTGCTCGAGCCTCCTGCTTCTGCTCACCCGTCAGGCCCTCGGGCAGCGTCACGCCGCGTCATCCACCTGAGGCCTGGACAAGTGCATGGCTGAGCTCGGCCGCGTCCACTCGGCGGTCTTGTACTGTAGGAGACAGAGAGCATGAGAGTGAGGGAGAGAAGGAGGGAGGGAGGGAGGGAGGGAGGGAGAGAGGAAGAGGGAGAGGAGATCGAGAGAGGAGAAATAAACGACATCATCACCTCTGCGGTGTGCTGGTTGTCTCCGGCCTCTTGCAGGTCCCCATGAGCGTCAGGCAGAGGGCGACATCAACGGCTGCTCACCTCCTCTACCGTGATACACGTCCAGGCCGAGCTTCGATCGAAACGCAACGCTGCATACCTGCCATGCTCCTGTCAGCCCCTCCCGTCCGACGAGTCAGTGGGAGGGTCGGGCTCACGGGGTTGTGTGCCGACGGGTGGCTCAAAGTCAGAGCAGCGATGCGTCGCTCCACCTTGTCAGCCTGCGTCCTGCCGCTCGCTAGCATGGCAAGGGAGGTTCTATGCATGATGGCTGACTTCAATAGCCTGGAGCTTTGCAAGGGTCAGCAACCTCGGAGTCTTCCTTCCCCATCGCCCTACCCTGTCAACTTTGTTCTTTCCTTCACTCTCAGCCGGCAGATCGTGTCCAGCGCATGAGCCTCGATGGTCCCGATGGCGGAGTAGCGATCCAATCGAGAGGTCAGCGTGCTTGAGAGCTTGTCTGGGGCAGGCTCAGCAGGCGAGCTGGGGGCTTGCAGGAGAGGGTCTGAAAGCTCCGAAGCCGTGTCTTGAAGGAGGTCTGAGGTGACGGGACGAGAGGTGGAGTTGTCTTTCTCCATGCAGAAGGTGCTGGCCTTGATGGCTTGTTGCATGTCTTGCTCAAGGGAGTCGTAGGAAAGAAGAAACTCATCCCCCTCTGCCGTCTTGTCGCTCAGCAGGCTGAGAGAGTTGGGGGGCATTCGAGCAGTCAGTAAGACCACGACTTGCGAGAACCACCACGACCCGTCTCTCGCCACCAAGAAGTCAATCACGTATTTCTTGGGGAGAAGCTTAGGGTATTTCTGCTTGCTGTTTCCTTCCTTGTCTCTGCGAAAGGGAAATACGTGTAGAGCAAAGTCTATCAAGTCTCGAAACTTCGCCTTCTGTTCGCTCCATGCTGAAGTCTGTACTCGATGAACAGTGGTGGCTCTTCCACTCGCTCGCGTCCCCTTGAGATTGGAACTCTCGCAAAAGAAGCCGTTCAAGGGGGAGCTGGGCTTTGCTACCTCGTTTGTGTTTCGTATGATAAAGTGAGGGTTTTCATGCTCTTTCCCGCACTCGAGAACGAAGCGATTGATACCGGCGTGCGACCCTTGCGGTCGGATGTACATCTGCCATAGCGTGAAACCAGACCCCGAGCTGTCAAGAAGAGAAGTGCGGAGGGCCTCATCGTTTAGCAGCGGGCGAACATCACAGCCATTGCTGGCACTGGTGGATCGGCGAACCACATACAAGGGTTCATTCTCCTGCGACGTTATCACCGTCAGGAGCAGACAGACAGCACATGCATGATGGCACGACCTTCAAGCGGTAGGGCTTCCTGACAGAGAGCTCTGCTATTCTCTTTCTCCGACGCCTGCTCAGCCATTCTGCTGCTGACTTCTTGTTGACGCTCGTGCGACAAACGAACCCATCCGAGTCCGTGTAGAACCCCCACAAGCGAATCCCTCCGACGTTGGACATGAGGATGGAGTCGGGGATGGGAAGCTGCAGACGAGGTTCTAGCCGATACCCTCCATCTGATCCCTGCCTGTTATTATCGACGTTACAGATGGTAAAACACTTCCAGAATGCTGTTCCAGGCATCGGGCCCAACTTCTCTTGGTCTTCGGTGAAACGACCTTCACTGAAAACGATTGACTTCATCTCATTGCTCTTCTGATTCTCGTGTGAGTGACAGACCGCTTCATTGAGTTTCGCATATGCCGACAACTTCTTCTTCTTCTTTGCGGTGAAGGCTGTAAGAGAAGCTATGGTAGTGTCGAGTTGAGGACTAGGAGCAAATACGAGAGTCAAAAGAAGAGATAGCAAGCAGGTGATGACTTACGTTTGCTCATCGACGACTTTCTCAACGACTCTCTTTGAGTGATGGTCCTTCATGTCGATCTGAATATCACCAATGAAATCTTCACTCGCCTTGGTGACTGTAGAGCTCAACATCGGCCGCTCCCACCGCTTGGCCTTGGATTCATCGAGCGCAGAATCAAACGGTAGCATGGAGCCGTTTGTCATCACCATCCCCCCATCCTTTCTCTTGGTGGTCACATGCCGCGGGCTCTCCCTCTCTTCAGTTCCAAACCAGAGGCCCTGCTGCACCCAAGCACTGGGTCCACTCGTCTTGTACGTAGTGGCTTCCTTGGAGAGCTCGAGAGCTTTCTTGGCATCCCATTCTTTGATCTTTTCTTTCTCGACGTAGGGGATGGGAGGGTAGTTCTGATCCTTGACAATCATCTGAATCGCTCGCTCGAGCACGCGGAGTTGTTTATCGTCGTCATTACCCAAAGCTTCGGTCAGCTGTGCTTGCAGGCGTGCTAGATGCTGTTTGTCCATCCCCAAGATCTGAAGTTGATTGAGCAACTTTCCAAGCTTCATGTTCTCCATGGAAGCTAATCTTGCCACGAGATTCCTGTCGTTCCCGTCCTCTTTGAACCTTGCTTCCCCAGATGCCGACTGGCCTCTCGGAGAGGTGGCAAGCGGACCTCGAGCACCTTCCTCAGCAGCCGCTGCCAGAAGTTTCGGAGGCAGTTGATTGCTGGACTGTTTGGACTGTTTGGAAGCCCCAAAGCCATCGGAGAGGTCAAGCTGTTTGGCGCTCTTAGACATGGCCGAGCAAAGGTACTGTTGCAGCTGAGAGCTTGGGAGGAGGTCGAGCTAGTGGGCAACTTGACCGCTCAAGACCCTTCGCACGTGTCCATCCTCATCACAGCACACAATCAAGCGCCAGTCGCCGCCTCCATCAGCCTCAAGCAGCGACGCTTGCCGTATGTTTGCTGCTGCATTCAGTTGGGCCGCAAGCCTGGAGGGGTGGGTCCATGCAGGGAGTTTGACGGGTGGGACATCTTCGGGCCTACAACGGATTGGTACCTCCGGTCTACCAACATCCGCTCAATTAGACCCGATCGGCCGGGCCGCCGGGTAACCGGCCGGGCCACCGGAGACAAACGTAGTGATGCGATGGCACCGAGGAGGTCCGTGAGACTATTTCGGATGGCGATGGCGGAGGAAGACGGGAAGATGGCGCTGGAGGAGATGCGGAGGAGGAGCTTCACAGCATGGTAAGAGAAGGAGAGAAGTGATAGAAAAACAAGTGCTGAGACCAAGTGAGGGAAAAAGATCCCATGAGGAAGAGAAACGCATGATGGGAGATTGAGCTTGTATTAGTTTCTGTGATGGGATATCAGATCATGTTAAGTTAGTTTGACCTCGTTGAGACTTGTGTTTAACAAGATACCTCGGGTCAGTGACGAAACGAGACTGTAGGTGGTATCTTCTAGCAACTGCTTCTTCATGCTGTGGTATCGTACTGGGCATGATTTACGTGGATCTCGATCAAGTTCAACGTTCTAAAACGCGTATTTGGCTTTTTCTTGGTTCGATCTTTTTCAGTTTTACACAAATTGAACGATCATACCTGAACATGAATCCTTTTAATCAGGAAAGGACCTCTTGCAAATCCTCATCATCACAATGTCTGTGGTATCAATCTTTGCGCTGTTTGTCTACTACGAAGGCGAAGTGCGCAAAAAGAAGCTCAGGTAGTTGGCATCAAGTTATCATGTTGTTTTCCTGAGCGAGGATGGTCAGAGGGATGCACATCTCGAAGGATCTTGGATACTTCTCCAGGCTCTCTCGAGCAGGTAGAGCGGACGAGATGCATGCTGCCCATGTCTGATCCTTAGGATCAGGTCTCAGCAGTGCTTTCTACACAGAAATTTTCATACAGCTCATCATGCCATGGCCGATTCTGAACTCGGAGTTTCATATCTGGTCTCCGACATCTCAAAAGTATTTGAGGTATGGACTGCAAGCTCATCTGTGCGCTGTGTACAAGAAACAACGGTTCATGAGCATTGTAGGTACAACCTGAATGACTTCATGGTCCTTGCGATGTTTGTGCGAATGTATATGATCGCATTTTGTTGGTTTTTGGACCATACTTTCATGTCCCCAACATGTCTTTTGCTGAGTAAAATCAGCAACGTGAAGGTCAGGCACAGCTCCACTTGATGTTCAAAACTGACAAAGAGCTTCAGATGAGCTTTGTGAATGTGCTCAAGTATCTTCTCTGCTATGACTTGATGTTCCTCGTATACCTCTGGGTCGCTAGCATCATCTTTTTCTCTTTTTCTCTCTACATCCTGGATCGGAGTGATCAGAGCTTCGGAGCGCCGTCCTCGTTCTCACAGCATTTCAGCTTCGCTGTCCTTCAAATGACTCTTACAAGAACTGAGGCCTTACAGCTACAAACTGACATGGCTAGAGTCTTCTCCTACCTGATATCTGCTGTTGGTCTTGCCCTCCTTGTCTTGACAGTCAATGCTTTCCGAATCCTCCTCAAGCTGCAGCCCAATGACGCTCAGTTCCTCGAGTCGTTCGAGCTCGATCGTGCTGGGCAGCGGCTGAGAAAGTCTGCTACCCTTTTCATTGAAAGTTTCTACATGCGATCATCGCTCTACAAGTCTAACGGTCGAGTCATCACGAAAACGATCTCGACGGCTCCGGAGAGGAAAGTGACCTATCGGGTATCATCAACTTTGCCCACCTCTCCTGCTGCGCTGTTGACCCTGTGGTGACTTGCAGGACTTGTCCTGGGCGCAGGGTGAGGCACCAGCTGGGAATATTTTTGATGACAGCAACTTGATGAGGAGGATGCAGGAGTTCAGGTCCTGTAGAGACGAGGTACCGAGGCCCTTGGTGTATGTGCGGGAAGCTGAACCCTGTTGGCAGGTGGACCGGCGGAAGGATCAGATGAGGAAGAAAAGGATGATGGTAGCCTCGGCGTTGCTGTCGCGCTCAGAGAAACTTGGGGAGCATGTGGACACACTCCGACGGCGCATCACGAGATTGAGCAGGTCTCGTCATCATGGCTGAAGAGTCTCTTACAAGTCGAGTCAAGGAAGGTCTAGCACACTTGCACAAGTCAAGGGACAGTGCGCTGGAAAAGAATATGTATTCTATGGATGTGGATTATTTTTCTAGCAGCACGTCAGCTGCTGATTATTGTCTTTCGGTCTTCATTTCTTGGGCAAAACTTTCCTCCTCGGAGGAACCGGCACCGCATCCGGAGCGTTGGCTTCAGGGTTGTCTATCGCAAGGTTTTAGCCGTTCAGCAAGGCAGGGGCTGGAACAGCTGACCTTGATCGTCGGGCTTGTTTGAGCTCTCCGATCTATCGCTGATCTCGGAGGCCACATCGGACGAGGGAGCTTTCTTGACCTCCTACCAATAGCATGAGCTCCTGCCCCGTCGACGAATCGATCGACCTTGGGAGTATCTTTCCGATCCTCGTCCGGCTTCTCATTCTTCTCCATCTTCTACATGATCGTAAGCAGTGCCAACTCGATTGAAGCACCGACCTTGGAAGGAGCAGGAGGCGCGGTTTGTGTTGTGTCCTACCAAGATCTCTCAGTCTCAGATCGCTCTGGCATGTACCTGGCCCGGCCCGGACCTCATCGGCAGCTGGAAGTTCAAAGGTGAGGTCTTCAAGGTACTTGGGGTCTGGGTCCTGCGGAATCCCATTCGTTAAGGAGAAGCAATCGTTGCTGAAAAAGTACATCGGATGGCTCAAGCTGAACGGCCTCCTTCGGCCAACCATCGGACCATCGCCCCTGCCAGAGGATCAGTGATCAACCTCAGAGGGAGAGGTAGAGGCTAGCCTGTACTCTGCTTCCGTCAGCAAAGCAATAGAGCCCCATGCCTTGACAGGTTCATGGCGTCAGGGACCATACGATAACTTTCCTTTCCTCACCTTCTGGCGTCCCTCCTGTCATATCGCCGAAGTATTGGTCGCCGTTGGGATACTTCCTGATACATCTGGAATGAAAGTTTTTGGCATCACTCTCCCCCCGAGGCAGAAAGGAGATTAGACGAACCTTCCCGTCCCATCCGACTTTCCGCTCTTAAACTCTCCTTTCAATTTGTTCCCGTTGGCTGCAATAAACAATCCTGACGCAGGTTTCAGACATAGGCAGTGACTTCAATAGTTCTCACCCTCGCCAGAGGCCACGCCATCGGAGAAGTTTCCTTGAGTTTGACATCATCCCCAATCAAAACTCTTCTTATCTCCACCTGTGTGCGCGGCCCCGTTCTTGTATGTACACTTTCCCTGTCATCAGGCTTTAGATCGACTGCATCGTTTGAATCCAGAATGACTCACAAGTCCATGTGGCTTCCCATCCATCCACTCGCCCTCATACACGTCCCCACTGTACCAACGTCAGTTTAGCCCTGCCAGCAACAGACAGACTTTGCGGTCTTCATCCGGCCCTTTCCATGTCGACGCCCCTTCAACACAAACAAGAGATTTCAAAATAACAAAATCGAAGCAGGTTGCAGAGTTTACAGCTCGAAACTCTCCCTCATATTCGAGTTGATCTGCTATGACCTCCTTTCCTTCTCGCAAGAAATCACGAAAGCCTATCAAAACAAACTTGACAAACCTTGTCCATCAGGTTCTCCCCTCATGAATTCACCCTCATATGAAATATCTCCTTCACGCACACAGTCAGGATTCAGCGGTTCAACATAGGCCAATCACACCGAAGGCAACTCTCAGAACAAACTTCCCTTTGCCTTCAGGCTCCTGCCGAGAAGATCGTCAGGACAGTCCCCTGACGTAAGGACAAGACAACCCCTTTGAAGAAACTTCCAGTGTAGGAACTGTCCTTCGTGTAAAGGGAACCTGCGACGACATGACCTCCTCCCTTACGAAACCTTACAGGGGCACCTTTCCCATGAAACTGGCCGGACCGCCATTCTCCCTCATAGCGCCTCCCATCCTCCCACTCACACTTGCCACTCCCCTGTCACACCGCGTCAACGACAGGCTGCAAAGCGACCCTCTTCGTACATGCGGGACTTCTTTCTTCGTCTCTCCGACATACTCGCCGCCATCCGCGAGCCGCACGCTTGTCTCTGACGACATGAGAGAGGTTGAGGGACCTGAGCAACTCAGTCAATCTTCCTACCACAAACTACTCCCACGTAATTGCCGGGCCTTGCGATCCTCCTCCCTCCCTCTCTTCTTCCTTATCTTCCTCCTCCCCACCTTCCTCACCCTAGTCCCTCTTATCCCTTCTTCTCTTCTCTCTTTCCCAAGTTTCATACCATGTGCTGCCCCCTCCCTCCCTCCCTCCACCCCCTCCCCCGTGTCTCGCTCGCCCTCGCTCGTCTCTCCAGCCTCATTCCCGCCAAACTTCAAAAAACGGATCACTTCACCAGCAGCCCCGCTCTCTCAGGTAGAAGGTAAGGGGCACCCTCTTATATCATATTAGCATAATACTTAAATATCTCCTGTAGTGTATGGGGGGTAATATGACGCTCAGAAGGGGGAGCGGGTAGGTAGCTGGCAAGGGGAGTTAGCGCCCAGTAGAATCCGAACCCCGGGGACATGCGGCGAAGAGCGTTCGCCATGCTGATAGAGAGGGGGGGCAGAGAGAAGGAGACAGCAGGCGGGAGAGTGATGGAGATGCAGAAGTAGGTTAGAGGGAGCAACGGAGAGGAGGAGATGTACTTTCTGGGAACACAAGGCAGTGAGCAATAAAAGGGCGGGAAGGCTGTGCTGTTTGTGTTGAGCTTTGTAGTCCGAGTTCGACATGGCACAACAAGAGTTCTCCCCATGCTCGGACTGTGGGACGTTGCCTTGCAAGAGACCCAAGAGAGTGTTGGACGACTGCTGCTCGTGCTCGGGGGAAGTTTGTGGGGACCCAGCATGCCCTGCGATCGAGTTGATCACTTGCGAAGCTTGCAACAGAGGAGACAACGAAATGCAGCTGATCCTGTGTGACGGCTGCGATCATGCATGCCACCTGGCTTGCATGGATCCGCCCGTAGGTTTTGTGCCGGAAACGTGGTTTTGCCGCCGGTGCTTATCAGCATCGTTGAAACTGCATGATTCCAGGGACCGGAGGATAGGAGGCCAAGGTGATTGCACAATCATTCTTGACCCAGCGTCAACTATGACCCTGACTTTTGGTATTGAAGCACTTTGTAAATCCGTAAATGATTTCTACAGACAAGGTGATGCGATCGGGCGAATTCTGCTGCCGTTCTAAACTTGAGTGGTTGACGATGCTATCAGACATCTCCTGGCAATCAGGAAGTTTTCCACAGCCCTCAGAGATTTTCAAGAGCGCAATCATGAACATTAGCCACCATGATCACGAGTCGAGCCCCAGGGGGCTGAGTTGCAAGTGCAAGAGGAGTCGATGCATGAAGAAGTAAGCTGCTGCCAGCGGCTACAGGTTCACGAGGTAGACTCTGACTCCCCGGACCTTTACAGGTACTGCGAATGCTTTCAGAACAGCTCTGCCTGCACATCTAGATGCACGTGCAATGACTGCGGGAACACCATCTCGGAGAGGATGCGGAAGCCTGGGACCTTCCAAGTCCGCGCTTCCTCCACCTCCCCGACCAACGCCCCAGAGCCCGATGTAGAGGTTGTGCATGTCGCACCCAAGACGTGAGGCCTTGCCGATGACGGTTTCTCTGGTGTGACTTGCTAGCAGGGTCAAGCCATCGAGCTACAGCAGGTGGAGGCTGGAGAATCAACTCAAGGAGAGGGATAGGTCGCCGCTGCCGCACGAGCTGCCAAGGGAGGTTCAGCTACTTGCAGCAGAGGCTTACACTCGGCAACAAGCCTTGCAGCATCAGAGCCTCGGCGGCAGGATGTCGAATCGATCTTCTCTTCCTTGACCCACGGCCACTGTCAGACTCACTTGAATGTCGACACTCAGTCACTGTGAAAGCCGCCAGTGCCCCCGAATTGAAAAGTTTCTGTCACAGCACTGTTAGCATGCAACACTCAGTGACTGATTTCGGAAGTTCTGGCAGCCGCTGAGCCGCTGAGCATCAGACCCTTGCCAAGTTGAAAGGCTTAGTTTAAGTTACCGTGACTCAGTGATCAGTGTAGTATTTAGTAGATAAAATCCTTCAGGTCACAAGTTTTCGGTCCGATCCCGCCGCCCACTGCGCTCTGACGACCTGGCAGGCGAGTCCGCCGTCAACTGACGGTTCCGATTCGGAAGAGCTGAGCCCCGCCGGGGCCGGGGCCCGGCGCCGCCACACTGCACTTTGCGGCCGGGCCGGCCCGGCCGGGGCCGGGCGGACTGCACGCGCCGTGACTAGGGCGCGCCGGGGCCGGGCCGCTGGCAGTGCCCAGCCGCCGCTCCCCGGGCCGCACGCGGAACTTCGGAAGTTCCGAATGGTTCGAGCCGCGCCCGGCCCGCCGGCGCCGAGTCGGAACTCGGAAGCCTTTCGGCCAATGAATCGTCACCGGGCCCACGCGCGGCCGCATGTCACATGGCCCGGCCCCGCTCAAGCCGCGTGACTCGGAACTCTTGGCCGAAAGAAATGCACCTATTGCCCTCATCCCCGCTTTTACCTCCTTCAAAAGCTGGCGAAAAAACATTTGACCGGCAATTTGACCGGTAGGGGTGGGACGTTATTCCCATTGAAACATTGCCATCATTGGAGTCTGGAATCATCTGCAACCCATAAGATGACACCACCCCTAGTTCTCTCTGTCTTCTTGGGGTGTGATTCTCATTGGGGTGGTGCGGTGGAAGTCTGGAAGGTGTGTGGTAAAGAGAGGCTGCTGACATATAATCGAACCTTCTGGAGTATTCTAAGACCCTCCGTCCGATGGTTACTAGGGTACCCCACCCTATTCATTCTAGGGTTACCCCATACCACCCCAGTTGCAAATGATCAGAAAGTCTTCAAACCGCACCTCTCGATTTGCCGGGGGTATTAAAGCATCGGTCACCACCCCTACCCCCAATTGGCCGGGACTCTTTATTCCTAATGAATGATCACCCCTTCCTGGCATAGGTTTAGTACCCACTGAATGGGAACACTGGATTACTACCCCTGCCGATCACCTACCCTAACATACCCCCACCCCTGTCTCATCCTCTAGAGTCGTCCCTCTTCGTCCCTTCCAAAGTTCCATCCTGCCTCTATTGGTCAGCTTTGTCATTCTGCTTGCCCCTTCGCTTCGGTGATCTTGGTGACACGCTCTTCTTCAAAGCAACCCTCAACCCCTCTGCTGTTGCAAAGTCAAAGGAAGCTGTTTCTTTTCAATTTTCCTACAGACTCAAGGGTTCCTGAGTCTCACTTGGTTTTTCGACCCTGTACATACTTTGCTTAATGTGTGTGATGTCACCCATTTACTCTGAGAGATCTATAGAAGAGGGGATGAGCCAGGCGAAAGCTGTGTTACAGAACCCTGCTCTGAGATTTCATAGATCGGCATTATTGCACTTCGAAAGAACGAATGGATCGGATTCTTCCGGCATCTATCCTCCAAACCGAAGAATTCTTGTGAGAGCATGGAAGCGGAAAAGACCTGGGTTCAGAAGCACTCTCAAGAAGAAATCCTCGCACCTTCAAAACGTTCTTGCTATCACAACCTCCAAGAACAAAGAAGATTTGCTGGCTTCGTTCAAGAAGTTTCTACAGAAAAGGAAGACCAGGCGCTCAAAATCGCATAGAACGAAGAAGCCTTGTCACAAGTCAGGAAATCAAGATGAGTATTTTGGGGATAACGAGTTGAACGGATATCTCAGCGAGACTGAATCCGTTTCCATGTAGAGTCTTTGATGTCAATTATGTATGATTGCTGTACAGACAGTATTTGCCAGTTGCGTGAATTTTCCAATAAACCGAAGTGTTCGACAAAACCTGCTCTTACAGAACACTCGGCATAAAAACAAGACAGTTTATTGGAGAGATTTCCAAACAACTATAATCTACAATACTCAATTGCAACTGTGGAAGAAAGAAAGAGGTGAAAGAATAACTGAGGGCCTTCGATGCAAGATTTCTCAAATGTCTCGCGCGATATGGCACACGTCTAAATGTAGAAGTTAGGAGACGATCTTTCTCCTGGCTTGCGATATTCGGGTGCACCAAGGGTTCCTTTGATGAACTGGGTATAGCCCGCAGAGTGACAAGACCCCCTATGGTAGTCTAATTAGTCACACTGCACGTAACAAGAGCGGTTTCATACTTGTGCCACCCCTGTGAGCCCGGCGAAGAACGCTCTTTACATGTCTTGTTCTGTCCATATGCACCCTGCAATTTGTAGAACAGCGATGGCGACTCCGGTTTCCCAAGAGGGTACCACATCTGCAGATGTTTGTCAGTAATTCCCAATATCTCGACAATGAAAGACAGATATGGTTGAGGGATAGTTAATCTTCGAACACGAAACGATATGTTAAAATCTCAAAAAATGTTCAAATCTCAAAAAATTATGTTCAAATCTGCTGCAATCTTGCGATTGTATCTCGCTTCCATTTTGTTCTTGTACAGCCTTGCAGATTAGAAATAAAACCATCAGCATTGAAATGTGTTGTATGCATCTAGCTTCAACTCTGAAAATGATTGACAAAACTTTCATTTTTGTTCAACCAAATGAATTCACCTAGAAATTGAAGGGAATTCGTGAGGGAGAGATCAGCCAAGATAATTTGTCTGACCAACAAGAAAAAGTGTGCTACAATCATTCCCTTTGCACGTTGCAGCGACAACACTAACAGCATGACCTAAACATCGAGATGGCAGCTTTCTCACAGTCCATTTAGCATTTCAATCGATTGCTGATTTGAATCTCAACCTTCAACCCTTATCGCATCCATCAAAGCATGTCTGTCTGCCTCTTCACCTCGCTCTACAACCAATTTTTCATCTCAACTAGTTTTTTAAAAAGACTACCACAGTGGTAGTCTTGTTAACTTGAGTAATATATTCTGTACAAATCATTTGTTCACACCAGTACAAACAAGAACCAAAAGGTGATAACAAAAAAGGTAACAATATAGTAAAACATGAACATGGCTGACAGACCAAAACAATTTCTCGCTCCCGGCAGGGCTCGAACCTGCGACCTAACGGTTAACAGCCGTTCGCTCTGACCGACTGAGCTACGGAAGCACGTCTTGTGCTCTGTAACCAGAGCTTATATCGAACCTCATCCCCACACTGACCCTGGGGGTTGTCCAGGTTGGTGAGTCAGGGAGTCATGGCGTATGCAGGGAAGGGAAGGGAAGGGAGGGAGGGAGGAAGAGAAGGGAGAAGTAGGTAGGAGGGAGAGGAGGGTTGAGAACCAGAAAGGGAAAGCAAAAGCACCAGAAGAGGGAGAAAACGAGAGAGCAAGTGGGCAAGCACGGGATAGACTGTGCTTGAGCGATCGTTAGTAAGGAACAAGAATACTGCATAACTCGAATGACATTGTAATGCTCAACAGATTTGATCCACGATGGGATGGAAGACTTCTTCCTCCCTGGTTCTCGCTGTATATGCTGGTCTGCAGATACCAGAGCATCTTTGAGAGTTCTGATCCTCCCTGACAGGTGTACTACTGTTCATCAGTCAGAGAGACAAACGAGCGAGTTTTGATCAACCGGAGGCTGTAAACAGGTCAGATTTTGCTTCCCTTCGAGACTTCCCTTTGTTTGAAGTTCAGTCGCTCTTGGGTCATACCTAGGAACGGCAGGATCAGTTTGCTGTCTTTGCAAGGGCAGCAGCAAGGATATAACGATCTCAAGCTCCTCACAGACGCTAGGGACTCGCAGGTATGGCTCGATCCTCAAACATCCCCTGACCTGACGCGACGTGCTTTTTCCTTCAGAGGCAGGACGAGCAGGCGGCGAAGGAGCGAAGGATGGCGCTGCTGAAGAAGGCCGGGGTGACGGGGAGGGGGAGGGAGCAGAAAGGTGACGTAGAGGGGGGCAGCATGAGTCTACCCCTCCTAACATGCCACAGACGGAGTAGACCTTGGCCTCCTTAAACAAGCCGTGAAGGAGCAGAACTACGAGTCTTCCGCACAGACCAAGGGGTGATAGGAAGAGGGGGGAAGGGGGGGGAGGGGAGGGGAGGGGAGGAGGGAAAGGGGAGGGGAGGACAGTGAGAAGTGGGAGGTAGTGATGGTGAAGCCTTGTGACGTAGCTGTGAAGGTTCACGAGGGATCTGCTTGCTGCCTCGCGAGCCCAGGCTTCCAAGGAGCAGAAGGGGATGCAGTTCAAGGGGAACGTTCCTATCCAGCAGGAGCTGCGGAAGATACTGGGCGATCAAGTGAGCATGCAGGCGGGAGAGGAAGGAGCTGAGATTCCTGTCTGCTTCAGTTTGTTTCAGGCTCGTACCATAAAGCTTCTATTGGTTCAAGTCCAGCACAAGATCAGCAGACCTCGATCAGCCTGAGCGGTCCAGCACGGAAGGCGCCGCAGGTAGAGAAGTTGAGATGCTGCTGGGAAGATGACAGGGAAGCAGTTTTTAAGCTTGAAGGACGAGAAGAAGTTGGTTTCAGAGCTGACAAGTGGGTCGCAAGGTTGGAAGCCTCTGATTTCTCTTTCTATTTCTCATGCTCTCTCTCCTGCTCTTGCTTCCTTTGAATATGTCAAAGTTCCATTCTCTTATCTGATGTTGGCGCATCAGACTCTGCGATCAAGTCGATCGAGAATGCTGCTCGCGTCCCGCATGCCAGGAGGAACGGACTCGCTCTCGACGATGAGAAGAATCTTGTGGGCTACCTCGACTCGTCAGCTGCAGGTGGGAGGTTGGCAGCAACCGGCTGTGATCACAGTCATACCCTTGCTACTTCCTTCGCCTTGCGTCTGTTATGATACCCCTCAACGAGTAGACGACCACCATTACCGCTCCCTCCTCCATCGGCTGCATCAAAGGAGACATCTCATGCACCAAAGGTGCCATACATGTCTTCCTCCTCCTCCTCTCCCTCCTGACAAGTCGCAGGCGACATGCCCTGGAGTCTCCTGCTGTGCGTAGCTGCCATGCGCTCCCCGCAGTGAGCTGACTTTCTGTAGGACGAACATACTGGCAAGCATCATATGAAATCATGTTGGGACTCCTTCCCTTCCCTTCCTTGCCCCTTCCGCTCACCTTCCCATTCCCTTCCCCCTTCTCCTGCTCCTTCCCTTTACTCTCCCTGCCCCTGCACTTTTTCATCCTTTGCCGACAATCTCTTTCCCTCCTTTCCTGTTCCACGTCCATCCCTCCTTCCCGCTTCCTTTCACCACTACCACCACCTCCTCCCCTTTCCCTCTGCAACATTCATGGACTTACTATCATATGTTTCAGATATGAACTACTGGAAGTGGGCGAGGGGGAAGCGGCTTAAGAAAGAGCTGTCGGGTGTAGTTGACAACGTTCTCAAAGACCTGCAGCATAGAAAGTGAAAGTGAAGTGAAAGTGAAAGCTTCTTGTTTATTCTCCTCCTCCCCCTCCAGTTTCACCTCCTCCAGTTTCACCTCCTCCTCCTCCTCCTCCTCCTCCTCCTCCTCCTCCTCCTCCTCCTCCTCCTCCTCCTCCTCCTCATCTACACTTCTTCGCTGCTCGAATCCAGCAGCCGACCGACCACGAACTTGTGCATAGACATGGCAAGCTCCTTCCACTCGGAGCTGCTACCCGAGTACGAGGAGGAGGAGGCGGCAGCCACTCCCACCTGAGCAGCGGAGTCAAGAAGGAGCGGAGACGAGAGACAAGATAAAGCATGCTATGAGAGAGTCAACAAGCATGAAGGGGAAGAGAGGGGGAGGGAGAAGGAAGAAGATGGAGGAGAAGTGGGGAGGAAGAGGAGAAGAAGCAAGGATGTGTAGTGGTCAACACCTCCGTTGGAATCTCCAATGGAAGACTCTCGTGCTGATGACTTGCAAGGGAACACGCAGGCTGATCGTTCATGTGACTAGCCGACGAACACATACCCCCTCCTCCTCCCCTTCCCTCCCCTTCCCTCCCCTTCCCTCCCCTTCCCTCCCCTTCCCTCCCCTTCCCTCCCCTTCCCTCCCCTTCCCTTCCCTTACTCCCTGCCTGTCCTCTGCCCTCCCATTCCTCCCCTGACTCCTATCCACACCTGCATCATCACTTGAAACATTCTGTTGGGTCCCGCAAATCCTTGAGTCCCCTCGTCATCAATCTAACGCGCCAGCATCAGAAGCGAAGCAGTAGAGCGAAGCAGAGGAGGAAAAGGAGGAGGAAAAGGAGGGGAGAGGAGGGTAGGGGAGCGGAGCGGAGGTAAATGACAAGATCACAATGATTTTCTCACCGCCGCAGTAGAGAAACGAGTCGCAGGGGTGGAGGGCGATGGTGTTGATAGGACAGGGCAAAGAGATGGCGGCTAAGGAAGAACCTGAAGGAGACAACAATCAGGAGAGGGACGAAGAAGATCGAGAAAGAGAAATACGGAGAAGCAAGAAAAAGTTGAATATGCAAGGAAACAGCTGCACGCATTTAGAGGCAGAGGCAGAGAAAGCGGCAGCGGCAGCGGCAGGAGGGAGCGGGGAGGTTGCATTCCTGCCCGACATCTCAAAACCTACCAGTGGGGATATGGAAAATCCTGACAGTCTTATCGAGAGAGGAGGAGCACACGCGAGCTTCGCATCCTCCTGCCCCGACCACCACTGAAGTGACGGGCAACGTGTGCTGTGACCAGGTGACGGAAGGAGACGGGAGAGCGGAGGAGACGGCAGAGTAGTCCAGGAGGTTACCCATGCTCCATGCACGTACCTGGTGCTTGTTACCAGTCCTCCTCCTCCTCCACCACCACCACTGATCCTTGTTCCCCTGCTTGTCGTGCATGCCGTCGCTTGCGTGGTTGGAGTAGCGGTTTTCGCTGCCTCCTTCGTTTCCTAGTATTTTATTGAGGCGGGTTTGTAGGCTTTATCCTCGTCCTCCTTTGTTTGCTCCGGTTTGCCTTTCTTTTTCAGTCAATACAGTCTGATTTTCCTAAATCGCGAAACTTTCATCATTGTGGGCTGCACTGCGTCATCACCATGGAATAATATGTGTAGCCACGGTTACAAGAGACTCAGTCGTTGCATCATGTCATGTGCTGCCTGGAAAATGACATTTAATGATATCTGTAAGATTTCATTCATATTTAGTATCATTGAAGGCCTGAATTCTCCATCACCCCAAATACAGTCACCGTACCCTGAGAACTGCAGTGAGTAGCCTTGTTGAAGATTCCCGCAGGCAGACTCTCCAGCTTGTTGTTGTAAAGATTTATCTGCACAAGCTGGCTCGAGAGCTCGTCGAACACCCCTGCAGGCAGACTCTCCAGCTTGTGTCGGAAAGAAATAGCCAAATCAAGATTGAGAGCCTGTCGAAGATCCCTGCAGCAGACTCTCCAGCTTGTTGTTGGAAAGAAATAGCCAAATCAAG